ATCATGTGACCTTTGACCTTCCACACCTCTTCTCCCCAGAGCCCCGCCCCCTGAATCAGTCATTCATTCTGAAGGAGCCAGACCGGTTTACCGTCTGGAGGCTCCATCTGTGTTCAGACACATCATGAAGCCTGATCTGCCTCCTCAAACACAGGATCACCAGAAACCTCCAGATAACAACTAATGAGTGAATCAGAGAGAAGAACGAAATCCCTGATCAAAGCTGAGAAGGTTGGATCAGAGACTGCAAACAGAAGCTGGAGATTTCCACCAGCAAGTTGACGCCAGAGGTTAGTCAACTTGACCTTTTTTTAGCCTGTAGCGTAGCGTGAACATGTGCTGTAGAAAAATGCTGGGTCTGCAAACGCCCCCAGATGTTGAGGAGAGTTTGATTTCGACTCACCGCGGCGGTCTCCTTCTCCGTCCCGGACACCGTCACGGCCTCGGCGAGCAGCGGCACAGACATGTTGTTACCACACATACACTGTAGGGGGTGCTGGAACCAGGAGAACACAGAGATCAGCTGTGTGCAGGTCAAACGCTGTGGAGATCCATGAAACAACGTCACATATCTGAGGCTCTGAGACAACAGCTTGTTCTTCAGAAGCTGCGATGCTCTAATATATTAGCATTAACGTTAGCATCGGTAGCAGCCAATCCAAACAACAAATGTTTGTTTCTGTGTTTTAAATGTTTCAGACATAATATTAGTAAATGTGGGTTATCAAACATAATAGAAATATTAATATCAGCCCAAACATTCACATCAATTCAAACCCTTCTATAAAAACATACAGGAACCGATTCTGAGGGTCAGTAAACGAAGAATCCTTTCAGCCGGCTCCTCTTATCGCCTCCATTAATCAACATTTCATTCCAGAGCATCTTCAGACCCAGAAATATCAACCTAGAGACTAGAACCACACACAGCAGCCAGGATGTGAGTAACAGCTTCACATCTGCAGCTTTCTGCTGACAGCAGGCAGGTTTGGACACATTAACTAAATGAACCCCCCCACCACCACCGCCGCCGCCTGCTTCACTCATTAAATCGATCGCAACGATGCGAGGAAGCCTGAGAGATCAGGACAGACTACAGTAAAAGCTTTGGGATGATGCTGGACAGGAAGGAAGGAAGGAAGGCGGGCTGCCCGGTCGGTAAACAGACAATGAGGAGACGCGAGAATGTCCCAAATTCCACGGCTGCCATGATGGAAAATGTTTTACCTGCAAACTTATTATATCCTGAGTGTGCAGACTGGAAACATGTGACTGGCTGGACCAGGATAAATGAGTAATGCATGGAGCAGGAAACAGGAAAACATTCTCTTATATGCTCTTTGCAGCTGGAATGTTGTTTTGTTTAATTTTTAACTCGAGATTTGAATTTATTCTATGTAAAGACAGAGAGTTCTCTTCAAACACCTTAGATGATAACCAATATTATCTGTCTGTTGCTGTCCTGCTGGCATCTTTTTAGCTACGGTGAAAACACTAAACCTTCCTGTCACATTTAATCCCTCAATCATCTGTCTGTCTAATCTCTTCCAAACAAAAGCAATGAAATCATTTGCACTCTCCTCCAAAGTGCTCATCTGGCCTCCTTTCCTCCGCAAACCTTCCTAGATTTCAGATGAAAATTTATCACGAACTTAAAGGAAAATTCCGGTTTTTAACACTTTTAGCCCATTTTCTGTAGTGTCCAGGATGAAATCGAATGATC